TTTTTGCGCCCAAGACCGGCTTCCTGAACCTGATAGCAGGTGCTTCGACTGTTGCTAGCAGACGCTGACCCAATGACTTGGGGTAGTTTGGTGGAACCTTGTAAATCACACGGAAGGCTTCGTTGGGGTCTATGGGAGACCCAGAATCAAGGATGTGTACGAGAATAGCGCTTTTTGTGCTCTTAACTTCGTTTTTTCTCAAACGTGGCGGAAGGTGTTCCCGTATTATTATTTTGGACTCCATCCTCTTCTAAATATACTGACCTACCAAGAATTTATCGAGAGCTATGTACGCTCGCAAATGGCTAACACGATCAAGTCACACGCTGCACAACATATCATTCCCATAGGCGAAGAAACCCCACCTACTCCTATTGCAGTATCATGTTTTTATCCCAGTTCGCTCTTGCAATATTCCTTTGCTGGAACACAGAAGACAGCGGACAGTCGTTTAGACCATTTGCCCATTGTCTCATTAGGATCGCACCTTCAAATTGCCCTATCGAGTACCCATGCATTTATCGCAGCAGGAGTGGGAACCCATCGCCCGCGGCTCAACCCAACACCGATCACGACATTACAAGTAACGTACTACATGTGTAATCACCACATGAACCTATCCTTTCATTTATGCCTGTGCGAAAATTATTACTATAATTTAAGTTATTACTAAGGTATTAATCTACCTGTCGGGTAAACTCCCTATGGGTGTGCTGTAGGCTAAACCGGCTGAATTGGGTCTACACACGTGGGTCTTTTAACATTGCCATAAAGGAGTTAATGCTACGCGACTTTATGTTATAGTGGCCACTAAATATAATCTAATTATCGGGCAACTTAACTCAAACGATATAGGTGATAAAGGGAGAAGGGTTGGTGCAGCTCCGAGCCAGTGCCTACGGTTCTCCCTATAAACGATAAAACGCACTTTGAAGCTACTACAATTCATTTATACTCCTGACTTGAAGGTATAAAAAGATCACTTGGGCCTATTCATTAGGCACAAACATTAATAGCTCAATGGGGTATTTAAGGTATGTTCACTTCAGTAAGGTTCAAGCTTTCACTCCTTACTGAAGCGTGGGTGTGCAAGGCTAGCAGCTGGCACGTAGGTTGTAAGCTACTGAACTTTGTTTGCCAAGGTCTTTACGTCCGCTTCCATTTGCCCTGTCTTCGTCTTGACCATGAAACGCAATAATTATGGAAAAAAGAGAGTGAGATAAATACTGCCCAAGTTCAACTATCTGGAAGAAGCCTGTTTATGTCATCTATACGTTCTAAATACAGTGATAGATCTCACAACTGGTGAGGGGTGAACTATTAGCATCAGCAGAAGTGTACGTACATTAACACGAGTACTTGTTTATCCACCTTCATTTATGTTCCACTTTAAGGTAAATTCGAGAACCCGTACTGCATTGACGAGATTGCACAGTCAGTCTTACTCCAGCATCAGGTGAAACAGGCGATAATGGACAACCGTTCGGGTGTCGGGGAGGAGAGAACATCTCCAAGTGCCTACC